CATCATCAATTGTCATCCATCTTGATTATGAGACAAGGCTTATTCCTAGACCTGGAACCCACCAATTCAGGTAGGCTGGCTGATCAGTGAATTGGAAGGATACTCCTATCTCTGCCTCCCTGGGACTGGGGTCATGAATGTACCATCATACTTGGCTTTTTTATGTGGCTTTGAGGATCACACTCAGGTCCTCATGCCCACATGATGAGTATGTTACTGATGGAGCCACCTCCCCAGCCAGATAAAACAAGTTTTCAATATTCAAGTTACAGCTTTAGAAATAGATAACTTAAATTGAGACATGAAGGGTTCAGTTTACAACAGATCAGACACAAGGTTGAGATCATCAAGAATGGAGTAGAGGGTTGCCAAAGGAAGAAAGATGAGAAGAGGAAGGGGGAAAGGAGAAAAAGAGAGGGAGGAAGAAGGAGAAGAAGAGAGGACAGGAGAAAATACACTTTTCAAAATCACACTATTTTAAGGAAAAGTAAAGACATAAAGCATCAAGTAGTCAAATAAATGGCCTAGAAGAAGGTAGATTTAGGAACTGGGGTGATGGCTCAGAGGTTTAGAGCACAGACTGCTCTTCCAGAGGACCTGGGTTGGATTTCCAGAACCACATGTTGGCTCACACATATCTGTAACTCCAGTTCCAAGAGGTCCAATGCCCTGTTCTGGTCTCTGGGGACACTGCATGCACATGGTGCACATGCATTCATATATACATACAGTCAAGACACCCGTGCACATAAAAATAAAAATAAATCTTAAGAGAGATAGAGTAAAAGAGATTCTATTTCAATTTAAGACAGAGATTATATTTGAAAATAACTATAGCAGGAGTTTTGGCAAAAGTCAATGAGACAAATACATCAGTTAAAAAACAAAAAACACCATGATAAGTATTTAAAAAGTATGCTAGTCTATTATAAGTTAACTAACAGGTAATAAAGTTAGAACAGAGTATAATAACATATTTTGCAACAATATTATAATGAAACCCATCACTTTGCATCTAACTTGAAAATTAGCTTAAAATTTTAATAATCACCGATCATAAACTATTGAACATTGAAACCTATCAGTGAATATCAATACAGTAATAGAACGAATAAAAATAAATCATTAAAGTGTAAATAAAACAGCTGCATATAAAGCACAAGTTGAAAGCAAAGCATGTGTGCAAGTGTATGAGAGGGGGCAAGATGATTTCTGTGACAGTGTTCCACAGCCCCACCTGCCGCACCAACACACCAGACGAAAGTATGACTAATGGCCAAAAGCACTCCCAGCAATGAGTTCTTCAGCCTCCTGGGGTTTGCTTTGGTTTTTATTTTTAGACATCATCTCATGGTACAGTTATGGCTAGGCTGGAACTTAATGTAGACTAGGTTGCTTTCAAAATGCTGGTGATCTTCCTGCATTTGCCTTCCAAGTACTAGGATCACAGGAATGTACCACCATATCCCAGTTCCATTTCTGTGTGTGTGTGTGCATGCTTAAGTATGCATGTGTGTGTACTAGTACATGTGTGAGTGTATGTGTGTATACATGTGTGCATTATGAGTTTGTATTGTGAGAGAGAGAGAGAGAGAGAGAGAGAGAGAGAGAGAGAGAGAGTGTGCATGTGTTGTTGCTCATGGATGTGAAGGTCAGAAGTTGGCACTGGGTGTCTACTATTGCACTTCATTTTATTTTTTGATTTTGTGAAACAAGATCTTTCTACTAGCCCTAGCTGTCCTGAAACTCACTATGTAGATCAGACTGACCTCAAACTCAAGGAGATCTACCTGCCTCTGCTTCCTGAGTGCTGGGATTAAAGATGTGTGCTGTTGCGCCCATCTTCTTTACCTATTTTTTGAGACAAGGTCTCTCGCTGATCCTGTAGCTCACCATTTCTACTCGGCTGGCTGGTTGGCCAGACTCTGGGATCCACCTGTCTCTACCTCCAGCACTGGGCTTCAGGCTCTCACCACCATGACCAGGTGTCCATGGGTGCTGAAGAGCCACAATCAAATCCTTACACTTATGCAACTCTTCCCAGATCCACTCTGCTCCCTACCCATCCATCTGTGTCCTTTTTTTTAACTGTTTTAAACCCATGAAGTCCAATTTGTGCTGCCCATACATTCTTGGGTGTGTGGCCTTCTACCAGAGGGGTTGACTGACCAGGCCTACACTCCTAAAGAATGCTGACTCACCCTCTCCCAGCAGCTATCAGAGGCCACCAATCCTAAGCTGGGGGTGAGACCTCATGTGCGTCTCCCCTCTCCATGCTGGGATTTGGTCTGGCTTGCACTTGCACAGATCATGACCACTATGAGTTCGCTGTGTCTGGAGGATGCTGTTTCCTTGTGTTTCTGTACTGTCTTCCTCCATTATCCCTGAACTTTGGCAAAAGGGATGACATAGACACCCAATTCAGGGTTGAACCTTTCACAATCTCTCATTCTCTGTCCTTGGCCAGTGTGTGTTAATTGTGTGTCTTAATCACCATCTACTATAAACAGAAGCTTCTCCAGGAAGGCTGAAAGGTGCATTAATGATTTGGAATGATAAGTCCTTAGGAATCTGTTTAGTGCTGTGTCCATTAGAAATAGTTCATTCCAGTGTGAAGTGCTTTGGTTTAGAATTTCAGAAGTGGTACAAATGGTTGAATTTAGGGATTTAAAGGTCCAGGTTTTCTCCAACCACCATCTTCTAAATTTCATACATTTTGGTACAGAGTTGCTTGTAACAGCCTCATGTTATTCTTGCTCCAGAATAGGGGATGAACTCAAAAGAACAAAATATTTAACTATTAAGCCAAATCACTAGGGAGACTATATGTTCCCACTATTCACAGTCCTATTATTCATGCCAGGATTAGACAAGACAGAAATGGGCCAGAGAAACAATTCAGTGGTTAAGAGTGCTTGCTGCTCTTCCAGAGGATCTGAGTTTGGTTCCCAGCTTCCACACAGAAAGACTCACCAGCCTCCTGTAACTCCACCTCCAGGAATTCTAAAGCCCTCCTCTGGCCTCTGTGGGCATGCCTCTCTAAATAATAAATAAATAAATAAATAAATAAATAAATAAATAAATAAATAAATAAATAAATAAATCTTTAAAAATGAAGTGAGGCCAGGTGCTGGTGGCACACATCTTTAATCCCAGCATTCGGGAGGCAGAGCCAGGTGGATCTCTGTGAGTTCAAATCCATCCTGGTCTACAGAGTGAGATTCAGGACAGGCACCAAAACTACACAGAGAAACCCAGTCTCGAAAAACAAACAAACAAAAATCTAAAATGTGAAATGCCCTCTGTGCCATGTCTAAATAGGTGAAAGTTTATTCAGAAGACCACCAGGACATTCAAAGCAGAGAAGATAAAAACAGGGAAATAAAATAGATGTGGAAACTGATGCCCAGAGACACTAACTACCTTGCCCGGGTCACACAGAAATCAAGTGGTAAAAGTAATAATCAGGCCCAGGCAATGTGGTTGAAATGCTGTGCATAAACCACCACTTACAACTACTCCCAAGATAATAAAAAACAAGAAAGAAAGAAAGAAAGAAAGAAAGAAAGAAAGAAAGAAAGAAAGAAAGAAAGAAAGAAAGAAAGAAAGAAGGAAAGAAAGAAAGAAGGAAAGAAAGAAAGAAAGACTCCTAAAACACAGAGGGGATTGCTAACAAAAGATCTACATTAATTGACCATCCACCCTTTCTTACCCAAAGCAATTGAGCTGATTTGCATTTATAGCCCTGTGTCAACCTGTGAGCAGCACCTGATGAAACCCTTGTCTTTTTTTCCTCCTTCACCGGAGATTAGAGTCATTAAATCCCAGAGACAATGATGGCTTAATTAAAAGGCCATTGTGGCACAGGAGTGTTTCATCTGGGAGAGCTAAACCCTGCTCATTAACTGCCCAGGAGGGGCCAGCCAGGTGACCACTGATGGATATTGGAAGGATGTCCCTGCTGGAGGCTGTAATTCTTGGAATTGAAAATGTATGCTAAACCTCCACACTCCAGTAGCTGAAGCACCAGGGAGCTATTGGCGGTGGCAACAACACAGCAAAGCAGACTCCATGTTTTCTAGAAAGCTGGTAACATTTCTGTAATGGAGAGAAAGCTAGAGCAAGACACAAACAGGAAGAGACCCAATAAGGCTGGGTTGGGGGCTGCTTGGGCCACAGTCACATCCAACCTCCTCTCTCCACCCTCACAGCTAACTAATTCCACTGCAGCAGGGAAAATGGCAGGTACTCTATCTACTAAGAGATTCTGTCAGTCCTTAATTCTCCCTTCACTGAAGTTTGCTAAACACTCAGGCTGTCAGTGGCTACAGGTGCCGCCTCCCATAGGGTGGACCTACACTAACCTTTGCTCCTTCTCTTTCCACCTGGGAATCAGCGGCAACACTGTATGGGCTACTCATCAAATACACACGAAACCTTTAAGAGGGGCCCCACAGTGCCTGGTGGGACTGCACGCTCCCCAGGACCCTAGCCATGCTACTGCCTCTCTGGGGCATTGGTAACACTTCTGAAAAGTGTTTTGCTCCATTGGGCAATTTGCATCAGTGTCCTGAAAATATAAGACCATGCACTTGGCATACTTAGTTCAAGAGTGCACTCCTAAGCATGCTGAATCGAAAGTCACAACTTAAAAGAGAGTAACCACATTTTTTGGTGTGCTTAGCCCAAGTTTCAGATCATATGTCTTAAAAAAAAAAAAAAAGAAAGAAAAAAAAAACAGAAAGAAAGTGATGGGCAAAAATGCCTCTGGGCATGCTCAGGTTGCATCAGAAAGTTTTAGCTGAAAGGAAAGGAAGGGGTACTTTGAAGGGGCATTAACACGGGAGTCTGTGTCCGAGGGCCCCTGCCTCATTTGTCCTCTAACAGAAGCAGGTGGGGTCTCAGCAAATCACACCAAATGAAAAGGGGCACCTACCGCAGAGGACCCCTGCCCAGAGCAGAAGCTGCAGGAACATTTTTATCCACATAGCTTGGTGAACATGGTGGAGGATCAGACAGCACAAAGAAGAGGCATTGACTTCACCTGGGAAAGCCAGGATGCCAGGCACAGCTCTGGAAGTGAGTGTGGCCCCATCTGCCTCAGAATGAAGCTATGGAGATCATGGCACCCCTGAGAAATAACCAACAGTGCAAAGCTGGTCCTGTAGCTGGTCCGTGTTGTCATGTTTTGCTCCTCTCAATGTGGCACAATCAAATGGTTTAGAGCTCAAAATGATGGACCTTATGAGGGCCTGAGCTCCTGGTATGCAAGAGAAAATACACTGGAAGCAACACTCTCCTAATGTTCAAAGCAGAACCTAAACTAATGCCAGCTCTCTGGATTCTGGATCATTTATAAGTTAATTAGCATCCCAGGGCATGGGCTTAAGAGTCAGAATCATACAGTGTGATCTAAGTGTATGCTTTGAGTCAACAAAAGAAAGTGGATGAGCAGAAGACTGTGAAGACTAGTAAGAGATAAATGAAACAAAGCATCAGTGCTGAATTTATCTTGACTGTTGTGTAGCTATTTCCTCTGGGGGAAAAAAAAAAAAAAAAAGGTCTCTCCTGGAGGCAGGAAAGAGATTCATAAAACTCAAGAAGTAAGCTGAACATATAAGTCACAGGAAGTAAACAAAACTTACAAGACTTAGAAAACTCCTGAAACTCACAGGCTTTACAAAGCCTGGGCTCAAGATTATAAAAGCAGTTTTTGAAAATTACTAGGGAAAGGAGACTCTGTTTGGTGGATCTACCTATAAGTCCCCATAGGGAACTCTGTGGATGCAGCTTTTGTGAGTTGTCACCCATGCTAGGATCGGCCTTTCTGTGACTCCCTTTCCTTCGAGTCACCCTTGCTCCTTTAAGTAACCCCAATAAGCTCATTGGCGCACCAAGCTAGACCTGAGTGTAATCATTTCTTTCATCTGTCTTCAGTGCCCTAAGTGAGGTGAAAAGATGTTTGTCCCATACCCCTAGGGAAAAGGCACATAGCACTGATACACAAGACAGTGTGGGAATGACCATATGGTACAGAGTCCTGTACGGCAATACAATGCCTTGAGAGAAAGAGGGGATAGGACTCTACCATTCATGGGCTTCATTTCCAGCCTTAATTTACCAATTCATTTCTTCAGCAAATGGGTAGTAAGTAGCTGCTGAATGAAAGTAACTCATAGAGTTAACACAGAGACTCACAACTGATCAAAGATGTGAAAATAAGCAATTTTGTAGTGCCCTTTTTGAGATGTCTATATCCCACCCCTAACCCACAAGGCTCAGGGAACATTGTAGAAAAGGGTACAGAAAGATTGTGAGAGCTGGAGAACTCAGAGCAGCTGTGGTTGTCTGCAGAAGATCAGGCCAGTTAACACTCCAGCATGGATGGAGGGTGGACTCATGAGTCCCCATCTTTAACTAAGGAGTTATCGACAGTGAAGGCTTCTGGGGGAGGGAGAGTCAACTTCTTTCAGTGGTGTGGCCCCTGATATGATGTTCATTCTCCAGTGAATGACACCATACCCGTGCACACATAGGCAAAACTAAAAACTCAGTGGGTTTTTTTTTAATTAAATGCATCCCTTTATAATTTTATATCTCTAGATAGAACACATTATAGTTACTGTTACTCCTTTGCCATCTCAGTGTGTTTTCTTATAAAGGGGTATGGATTTTGGAAAGGAGTTCTGAGAGTAGTTGGAAGAGTAAGGAGTTGATATGATCTAAAATACATTGTATAGATGTATGAAATTATCAAGGAACAAATACAAAGTAAATAATAAAATGTGTGGTAACAGTGTACCAAATTATAATACGCCTCAGTTTTTCCATTAATCAAAACAAGGACAATAGCACCTACTTTTTATGTTGTGAGAATTTAAGTAAAATGTGAAGTCTATAACCCATCACACATGCTTGATAAATAACAGCAGATTTTGTAAGTTCAGCTACATATCAGTGCATGTACAGCTTCTGTTCTCATTGCTGTAACCAAATACTGGTCAAGAATCAGTTGAGAGGAGGAAGAATTTATGCTGATGAAGTTCAAGTGGACCATTCCACCATGGTGGGGAAGGCAAGGACAGGAGCAGAAGGAGCCAGTCATTCTGCGTCTTCATTCAAGAAGAGTTAACAGGAATGGGGTCAGACAACAAACCCTCAAGGGCACCACCTTAGTCCACTACTAAGCAAGGCACCATCTCTTGAAGTTCCCACAATATTCCCAAACAGCACACCAAGTATACAAATACGTGAGCCTACTGGGGACATTTCACATTCAAACCTCAACAGAGTACATATGAGAATCAATGCTCAGGTAAAGATAGATTCCCACAACTCAGAAACTATTCTGTAACAAAGAGAATCAAGGCAAGGCACTCCCCACCACTCTGCCTTCACAAGCTCTCCATTTACCCAGATCACAATGCCTGCAGCAGCAAGGGTCTTCACATATACCAAAGGTCTTCACATCACATAGTGTGATCTTCCCTCACTATGGGAGCCCTGTACACAGCAGGCAGAATCACAAACCTGTTTGTTACTCAGAGCCATCCCCATTGGAAACCATCTGGTGCTGTCTAGTAGAGCAGAAACCTCCTGGCACGCCCTTACCTGGGTAAAGAGCTCTCAACTTGTCAATAACATGGGAAGAACAATCAGAATTTTTAAAGAGTAAAAAAGGAAAGATTATCAGGAGAGCTAGGGAGACAGCCCAGTCAGTGATGCTTGCTTATAATCCCAAAAGTGAGGAGACAGAGACAGCTATATCCTACTGCTGGCTGGCCAGTAAGTGTGGTCTACCCAGAAGGTCCAGGGTACTGGAAGACTATCTCAAAAAACAAGATGAATGGAATCTGAAGAATGACACTCAGGTTGTCTTCTGGCCTGCACATGTACATGGACACATGTGCATGAACACCCACAAACACATACATAGGAACATGCATTACACATGCACTTAAACATATACACAAAAAAGAAAGAATTGTTCATAGGAAATAACCAACCATGAAAACCCCACAGTGAGCATTACTGTCTTGGTGTAAAAGCTCAGATTAAAAGGAACACCTGACTTTTGTCTCAGAAAGGACAAGTGATGAATGTCCTACACACAGAAGAAAAGGTTGCCAAGGGAGGGATGGTGCTTCTCGGCATTTGAGGACACCCAGGAGTATAAAGTGGTTCATCAGAAATATAAGAGCCAGGCACTTGGAATGTCAAAAGTTTGGCTTATAAATGAATGAGGAAAAGAAAGGTGTCCCCAGGAGGAAAGAAACATTCAAATAGAACTACAGAATTTCAAAGCAAGAAGGGACATTGGCAATCGATCATCTGCCAATAACTGAGCAACAGAGCAAGGCCAGGGATGTAAAGTAACTTAACCAGAGAAATCCAACACAGAAGACAATGTCTTAGCTTGTGTTTCCCAGAAAACAGGCAAAAGTGTAGTGCAAATGTGTGTGTGTGTGTGAGAGAGAGGGGGGGGGGAGGGAGAGGGAGAGGGAGAGGGAGAGGGAGACAGACAAAGAGAGAGAGAGAGAGAGAGAAGAGTGTGTGTTTTCAGTGAGCAGGTGATTTATGTAGCAAGTGATTACAAGAGGCAGGATCTGATGGAATATGGTATTTGGGAAAACCTGAATCCATGTTTGAGGGCCATGATCACTCATATTTGGCTCCAGAGTAAAGTATCTTATTCTCATTGAGGTGAGAGCTATATTTTTGTCTAGACACTTCTATGCACATTGGCTGAGCATGTTTCTGAGGCTCCATTACTGAAAGATCCTCAAGTCCCAAAAGTAAAGTTGGAGATGCACATTTGAACATGGACACTGTCCACAGAGAGGAATCCAAAGCCTGCAGATATTGTCTGCTTCGCCTTGGCCACACCTGGTCCTAGCATCAAAATTAGGGCATTGAAATGTGTTCCACAGATGAAAGACATTCAGTTGGATCCTCTATGCTAAAGTATATTTTGAGGGGCACAGGGTAAAACAATGCCACAGTTTCTGAAAGATTTATCTAACCACAGGCTTAAGACACTGACCAGCATCTCATTTACCTAGTTATTGTCTTGAAGGCCAAAAATGCAGGGCTTTAACTCTACCCCAGGTTGCAAGGGATCTTTGACGGAAGAGAGGTGTGTGTGTGTGTGTGTGTGTGTGTGTGTGTGTGTGTGTGTGTGTAGTGGGATTTTTGGAGGGTGTATTTTTGTATTTTATTCATTCTTTGACAATTTCATGTATACATATAAACAATTTTAGTTATTTTTACCCTCTCTCTCATCCCCTTCCCTCTTCCACTGAAACCCCTTTTCAGTCCACCCCCACTCCTATTTTTGTGGTTATTACACGTGTGACCCACAGAGTTTGCTTGACTGTGTGTGCTTTAGTAAGAAGTTATTTCCTGGGGTTTGGTTAACTTACCAGCGGTTACACCACAGAAGAAAATGACTCCCTCCCCAGCAGTCATTAACTGTCTACATTCCCTCAGGGAAGGGATGGAATGGGGCCTCATAAGTCCCTCCCCAATCCATGATGAAATGTTGATGGGCCTAATCAGGTGCGGATGTGGCATGAGTAAGCACAGCTGTATCAAGTTCTTGAGTGCAATGTCATATCGTGTCCAGAAGACCTTTTTTGACACAAAACTCACCATCTTTCAGCTCTAAAGTTCTTCATGCCCTGTCCTCTGCAATATTCCCTGAGCCTTGGTGGAGATGATACAGATATTCCATTTAGGGCCAAGAACTCCACCATTGCTTATTCCTGTCATTTTGTCAAGTTCTGAGTCTCTGCACTAACCACTGCACACAGCAATAAGAAACATCTCTGGTCAAGGCTAAGAGCAATACTAATCTATGGTACAAACATGAGTGTATAGAAAGCAATTTGACAACATGTCCACTTAGCAAAACAGCAGTATTTGGAACCTCTCTGAGGTCTAAGACCACCGTAGCCATGGGATCTTGACCAAATTTATACTATCAGGCCCAGGCTCCCTCCTATGAAACAGGACCCAAATCAAATCAGAAAGATCGCTTTTCGCCGAAGGCGAAGAAGGAAGCTCCTGCCCCTCCCAAAGCCGAAGCCAAAGCAAAGGCCTTGAAAGCCAAGAAGGCAGTGCTGAAAGGCGTCCACAGCCACAAAAAGAAGAAGATCCGCACGTCACCCACGTTCTGGCGGCCCAAGACCCTGCAGTTCAGGAGGCAGCCTAAATATCCTCAAAAGAGAGCGTCCAGGAGAAACAAGCTTGACCTCTATGCCATCATCAAATTCCCCCTGACCACTGAATCAGCCATGAAGAAGATAGAAGACAACAACACACTTGTGTTCATTGTGGATGTCAAGGTCAACAAGCACCAGATCAAGCAGGCTCTGAAGAAACTCTATGACATTGATGTAGCCAAAGTCAACACCCTTATAAGGCCTGATGGAGAGAAGAAGGCATATGTTCGGTTGGCTCCTGACTATGATGCTCTGGATGTTGCCAACAAAATTGGGATCCTCTAAACTGAGTCCAGCTGGCTAATTCTAAATATACTTTTTCACCATAAAAAAAAAAATCAGAAAGATCATGATAATTTCACCACTACTGCATCAGAGAACACATCTTGTCTAGCAAGTCAGTATTGTAGCTACTGGTATGACAGGGCAAAATAGTGCAGCCATTACTCCGTCTTGTAGTCTTCCTGAGGCCATTTCAGGTTTAACTAGAATTTGATCACCTTTTTGGAGATCCCATGGAAAATTACCCAACTGTAAACTAGGAACCCAAGGTCAAGATGCCCCAGCTGACTTATCCTAATTCCTAATAAACTGCCTGATTATGCACAACCCCCTCCATCTAACAGCTTATCTCAGCTTCTGTTAAACTGCTTGCTCCTGTGAAGCCTCCCTGTAGCCACTGAGAGAGATGCCAGGACATGGTTTTGCCTTCAAAATCCCTGTGCTTTGGACAAATTGGGCCTACACTTAGGTCCAAATGCCTGAGTGTGGTCCCAGCCAGCAGGAATAAAGCCTTTCAACTGGCTATAAACTATGTCCAAGTGGTCCCCCTGTGAGAGTTGTGCATTCCCTGTGACAGTGGGATAAGGCTTCATGACTTTTCTCTACTGAAGCCTGAAGAACACATTCCAGAACCATGAAAGCTCACCAGCAGGGAAGAAGCTTCCAGCTCAGTTCTAGCTTGATTCCTCTGTATGCTGTACCCAAAGGGCATGATGGTATCTTCAGTAACAGGGTCTTCCCATCAATGTCTGATGGGAAGCC